TATGACACTGATCCAAAGAATGTTGGTCGAGGGACCTAGATTAAAAGACAATCTTCATGAAAAGAATAATAAAATTCTTCCAATATAATCAACAATAAGTAATCTATCGTAACAATCAAAGCATGAATAAATCTCCAATAATAATCTCTTTTGCGAAGACAATAAATCGAGTATTGTAAAAATTATTTTTCACAAAAGTGCTTTCGATCATGGGTTGTAGTGGTAAAAATTGATGTTAATAAAAATAATTAGTTTTAAAAAATAAAAAACAAATTGGTGTTTAAAATAAAAATTAGTGAAAAAATTGATTAGGGTTTGGTTTTTAGCAAGAGAAAAAAAGGCTAACAAAAAATATTAAAAAGTAATTGGTGAAAAAATAAAATAAATGAGTGTTAAAAAAATGGCTGAAAAATAAAGAAAAAAAATAGCTGAAAAAAATGGGTGTAAACAAAATGAGTAATTAAAAAAATAATGGGATTTAAAAAATAAATAAATGTTAATTAAAAAAAGACTAAAAAAATTGCGTTATAAAAGCAGGGGGGGGGGGGGGGATTCCGTTGAGGAGGGAGGCTGCAGTGGGGATGTGATTGAGACTAAAGACCGAAGTCTTCAATTATTTAGGTGAGATCAGGGAAGGATAGGCGCGAGGTCTGAGGTGAAGGTGGGTACCGTAGATAAAGGTCTTCAGTGATGGCTAGGGCGGGTGGATTGCGAAGATCTCTTATTCCTCCCGCCTTAGGTACCCAAATCCTATATTGGAATACTTTCAATCCTTGATTGTTTGTACCAAACATTAACGTTTTGACCAAACGTTCTTTCTTTCGGTCATTTTTCTCTGAAGCTTCTTCCTGAGCTTTCTTGATGCTTTTCATAATTATTGAGACAACTTTAGTTCTTAATGCTCCTGGCCTTTTCCTTTCAAGGCTCACTCTCCGACTTAGGGCATCAACCACAACATTTACTTTACCATGGTGGTAAAGTATCTCATAGTCGTAATCCTTAAATAACTCTAGACAGCATCGTTGTCTCATGTTCAATTCCTTCTGATTAAAGAGATACTGAAGACTCTTATGATTAGTGAAAAGTTTGCACATCGTGCCGTAAAGATAATGTCTCCATATCTTTAATATGAATACCACCGCTGCCAACTCCAAATTGTGAGTGGGTAATCATTTCATGTTCTTTCTATTGTCTCGATGCATATGCAATCACCTTATCTCTTTGGATTAGAACACACCCTAACCCAATTCCAGATGCATCGCTATAAAGCGCAAAGTCTTCAACTCCATTGGGTAGAGAAATAATCAGTGCTTCACACAACTTCTTCTTTAACTTCTCAAATGCCTCTTAGTGTTTTTCACTCCATGTATAAGTAGCTCCTTTGTGGGTCAAAGCTGTCAATGGAGCAGCTATCGAATAAAAGCCTTAGATAGACCTTCGGTAATATTCGGCTAATCCCAGAAAGCTTCGAATCTCTGTCGGACTTTTCGGTCATTCCCACTCCATCACAGCTTCAATCTTTGCTGGGTCAACCATGATCCCTTCATGGTTAACCGCATGACCCAAGAATTGGACTTCTCGAATCAAAAAATCACATTTGAAGAACTTTTCATAGAACTTCTCCTTCTTTAAAACTTCTAACACTCCTCGTAGGTGATTGCCATGCTCATGCTGGCTCTTTGAGTAAACCAGAATGTCATCTATGAACATTATCACGAATTTATCAAGGAATGGTTTATAAACCCTGTTCATCAGATCCATGAATGCTGCTGGAGAATTGGTGAGTCCAAATGACATAACCAATAACTCATAGTGTCTATACCTCATTCTGAATGCGGTTTTCTCAATATCCTACTCTCTCACCTTCAGTTAAGGATAACCTGATCTAAGATCGATCTTTGAGAAATAGTTTGAACCTTGAAGATGGTCGAACATGTCATCAATCCTCGGTAATTGGTACTGGTTCTTTACTAATGCCTTGTTCAACTCTCTATAGTCTGTGCACATTCTCATGATTTCGTCCTTCTTCTTCTCGAATAACACCAGAGCTCCGCAAGGTGACGAAATAGGTCAAATGAAACTGTTGTCCAACAACTCCTGAATTTGCGTTATAAACTCATTTATCTCCGTTGGTGCTAATCAGTATGGTACTTTTTCTATTGGTGTTGTTCCTGGTAACAAGTTTATCCGAAATTCTACTTATTTATCAGGAGGTAATCCAGAAAGATCTTCTAGAAAGACATTTGGATAGTCGCACACCACTGGAAACACCAAGTATGATGTGCATCCTTTAGATAAACATTTTATGGCTTTCATTAGGGAAACGATTCCAGAATTTACTCTGAGTTTGTCCCGTACA